AAAATTTATTCGTGTTCGGCCCGTACACTTAACGAACAAGCCGAACACGAGCTGTTCGCGAACAACGAGCTTTTTAGACTGCCCCATTCGTGGGTTTTGATCTCAAGGGACGAACTCGTCTTCCTTACACCCCTTCCTAATGTCAACCTATTGATCCATGTAAAGTCTCATTCATTCATTAGTTTCGAGCCAGCCTAGCTCTATACTATAACGATAGTCTCTTTGAAATTACGGTAAGGGGATGTTTGGGTGCACTTTGGGCTAACGATAAATAAGATTTAATAAATCCGGTGAATCTGGATTTATCGAATGAATATGCTATTTATTCAAAAGACGTGTTTGGCATTTTATTACAGTTGAGCTAGGCTATTGTTAAATTCATTAAATTTACAAAATATTCGGATTTAATAAATCTGGATTTACATCCAAAAATTAACGGAAAGGATAAGAAAATGGATTTATCAGAGCACTGGATTTAGCTTCTCGTTTCTTTCATATTTGTCTGAATTTACGTTAAATCACGCGATAAATCCTACTAAAAATATGCTACCAAACACTCCCTAAAAGTTGGAGCCATGCATGCAAGTATTCCATGAGAAATGAATTCAAGATCTTCTCTTCTATTGTTTGACCTTATTTCTAAATTCTCTTTTAGCATCCTCGTCAACATTTCTATACGATGCATCGGGGGCATTTATACAAGGAAAAATTTATTTATTTTTATTAACATTTGAATTTACATTGTAATAGATGCCCTTTTTAATCATGATCATCAAAGCCTACTACATTATATTTATCCTAATATACATTAAAAAAAAGGGAGAACTTTGCAAAAGAGGATTCAATTGCTGAATATTTTTGAGATTTTTTTTGTTTATTTCCACCAATTTGTGGATCCACAAGTCTTTTACTTACAATGTCAACAAAGTAGTGGCATTTACTTTCGCAGCACAAATTTCTTATGCATTTACATATCTCACACCTAAACTTTCACATTTACGCATATTACTCCAAATTTTAATATTATATAAAAATAGCGTTATTAACATGTTTCATGCATAGCTTTGAAACACCAAAATGTCGTGCATGTAAAAATGAAATTTTTAGGTGTGAGTATGTGAGTACATAAGAATTATGTGCTATGTATCCGTTTGGATTCGTATATGCTTCTTATACAAGCAAATATTCCCAAAAATACTGTCTTCTACCAAAATAATGGAAAGATAAATTATTGACCTCTTAATCACATCATAAGAAAGTTCACGCAAAGTTTAAGAAGTAGAGAAAAACGAATCCCTAATTAGCACACTGAAATCGAATAATTACAAAAAATAAAGAGGAGATGGAAGTAACTACATACCCGGAGTTGTGAGTGATTGCCTCACATGTGGTGGGAGTTGAAGTTGAAGACCATGAGACAATGTGGATGGTGGGAAGTATGAGCCATCCATGTCGATGTGAGGCATAGCCATGGGATTATGTCCATAAGGTAATTGACGATGAGCTGCAGCTTGTTGAGATTGCATCATGGATGGGGGAAAACCCGTCCTCGGTGATGCCATCATGTAATTCATTTGAGGATAGTTATATGGTTGATGACCGATGTTTGATGTTGCAGTCGCACCATACATCATCTGCGGATAATATTGTGACGCCATTTGAGGATTGTACATGCCCTGTCATACATACATACATACATACATTTACCATTAACGGATGAAAATGTAAAAATAAGATACCAGTGCTATATAAATACGTGTATCTTTATTTATTCCGAGAATTTCATATACAAAAAAAAAAAAAAAAAAAAAAAAAAAACTTAAATAGTGAATTTGCCAAAATATTTTTCTAGGGAGATTTGCAAAAAATAACACCCAACTTCTATGTATTTACAAATATCTAACACCTAAACTTAATTTTTTATATTACATCATCCAAATCTTTCATATCGCATAAAAATGACACTTTCAATTTTTCGGTGTTCTTATGTAAAAGTTAAATTTTAGGTGTGAAATATATAAATACATAAGAACCGAAGGTATTTACGTAAATGCACACTTCTCTGTGTACTAATTTTGAAGGCGTGAAATAACTAACTTGCATTAGAAATATTTATTAATCTTATGTCACTAATTT